ACTTTAAACAAACTCACGCGCAAGTCAAAGTCCGCGCCTTCACCCTGTTGTGAAGCACACGGTAGATATCGTAGGAAACGATGAACCAAATATCGTGTTGAAGAAGGAGACACGCTCGTCTCCTTCTTCTTCTTCTTCAAGACTACTTCCTGTGACCCGTCTCTTTGTTTCTATTGGCAAGTATCGTGTATTATACAATGAGTGACCGATCTCATGAAATGTTGACCAACATTCGGAAATGCCTTTTTGATTAGCATAAATTACTTAGGTACCCTCACAAGATTGACTAACAAGCGACATAATCTTATAATGTATCGGACTCGTCAGGATGTCGGTTTTTGAATGCATTTCTTTTTAACCTCATACAAAAACAGTACTTGGTAAGAAAAGACTACTTACTTTTCATACATTTTAACAATGACTTTTGATGAACTTATAAATTTAAATATATTTTGCAGAAAACATGTACAAAATATGCTTTCTTATACTCGTTCGGTAGAGAACTACGTTATCTTTACATTTCACACGTGAAGAAGGGCTATATACAGGTTTTTAAAAAAGCTTCCCAATGCCAGAATGATTTTGAGCCTGATCAGCCGTTACATTAGCTTTTAGTGATTTCGGCCTACAAGGCGCATGCTTTCGGCGTAAGGAGAATCATATGTTCCTCTATGCCTTTAAAAAAATACCATGTAAAATTCCCAAAGTATTGCAGTGAATCCACATTGCACGGTCTTAAAAATCGCATAATTAGAAACTTTATCCAAGATTTAAGTATACCCTTCTTCAGGTATTAAGTGTAATGATAACGTGATTCTCTACTGAACAAGCAGAAGAAAGCATATTTTTGCGCATGTTTCCTATAAAATATATTTAGATTTATAAGACCATAAAAAATCAACGTTGAAAATGCATGCAACATAAGTAGTCATTTCTTACTAAATACGGTTTCTGTAGGAGGTTAAAAAGAGGTACATTTAAAAGCCGACATTATGCCGTGCCCGAAACATTATAAGATTATGTTACTTGATAATCAATCTTGTAACGACTTCTAAATAATTTTCCATAATTGAAGAGGAATTTCCGCATTTTGGTCGACATTTCATGAAATCGGTCCGACTCTGTAGATTTGAAGTGAAAGCGCATATTTCGTTTCACTTGCTACTGTTAGCATTTGAGATATTAAAAGCTGATGATGTTTCTTCGTCTGCATTTGACGAGATTAAATATGCTTTCCAGACATAAATTCAGTCGCTGTGGGAATTTCAAAACAACTTTAATGCTAAAATATAATTTTGGCAGCTGTTGGTCATTTAATTTCTTGGCATTTTAGCGCAGCATCTGCGAATCTGTAAACGCCGTCGGTTTACAGTCGATAACTGCCTACGCCGAATAAGAAGACGTACTGATACAACTCACGTGGTGGATCTGCACAAAACTGCGCTCTTAAAACTGGAATCTTCTTCCACCTTTATCACCTCACAGAATGAAGAGCTTACCGCCGTGGCTGGCAGTTGCTTTAGAATAACATACTCGATTGTTTGAGAAAGATGATATATTTCGTAAAATATTTGACTTTCAACTTTAAGGGAACTTAAATTACATACAGTACTAAGCGTTCCTTTCACGCAAACTCGCCAAGACAATTTGCATATTCCTTGCTCAACCATACCGACACACGCCAGGATAATTTGGGTTGTAGCTTGTTCTCAGAATAGCATGCAGTCTGGTTAGTGATGACCGACGACTTTCGTTGCTGTGTCACCTGTAGGGGAGTAATGGATACTAATGGATTGCTCGCATAAAAATCTACCGTTGTTGCTTAAGACAGTGTGTACAGAGTCGACCAATTCTGCTGTTGCTTCTTCCAGCAATTTGAAGGTTATTTGGCTAATTTAAGTCGTCGCAAATGTGTATATTATTTTGAAATTAGTAGAGGTGAGATTTAAGGGGTGTCAGCCTTACAATGATGGTTAAAACAAAGCTAATTTGTACACAGTATATGCAAGTTTTTTTGGCTGATTCGAGAAAATATCGACGACAGTAATTTGGGGTTTTTGTCAAAGGAAACGGTAAAATTTCGTATTATGAACTGGTGTAAATGTGACTGTTTGAACAATTTCGCGAACTTTGTGCATCAGAAGCTTAAAATATTTTTTGTGGCTGCAACCTGACGGAAGCTCTAATTACTAGCCAATGCAATGTCTTTGGCTTCATACAAACATGACAAACATTGATGGTAATCAGCTGAATGAGGGCGCAGCAAGAGCTCTTAGTCCCAGTGCTAGATCAAATAGATTTGTGACTTTTTATCTCAACGGAAATCTTGTAGTTCCGCATGATCTAGGAGTCAATAACGCAAAATATCCGGCACTTCCACAAGAAGCATAAACGCTCCTTCCAGACATACTGTTAACAAAATCCATTTCAAACCATTCGTATGTTGTGGCTGAATATTCCCCGTCTCAATAAAAATGTTGTCGGCCGCGATGCAGCGACGATGAGTCCGCTCAAAGGCAGGCTGACCCAGGCTAAGCCAATTAACAAGTCAGAAATAACCATTTGCTTATTAAAGTACTTTTGATAAACTCAGGCATATCCACCCCTGTTTTCCTAGTAGAGAAACTGAGAACTTGCATTGAAATAACCAATCCCGCGATAGCGTGAAATGAATTGCTAAATCTAGTCTCACAGGAAAGTTCTACTCTCTCTAATTGTATTGCCAAATAAGAGTAAAGTTGTTTTGTTTGCGCGCCATTATTGGGACACACCTCCTGTAACGATGTATGAAATCTGCTGACGTAAGCCGTCTTTAGTAGGCTGAATACAACTTAAATTTTAAAAAAGAGTTGTGATTTGCCTCTCACGTTTTGCATAAGAGTTCCGGTGGAGGCTCCAGCGTCACCAACCGTTATTTCGTGAATTCAGCTACTAAAACATTTGGAGGCCTTTTGAAAAGCATTGTTCCCATCTTAAAGAGATTGTGGAGACATCGAGGCAGCCGTTCCAGTTGCCCTTTTTCTCCGTCTTCGTTTTTTCGAACGATTGCTGGGACAGCTGTTGACACACGGCCACCCCCGCCAGCTAGAACTGGGACACCTCCGGTTCAAGTTCAGTGACTGTCGGCTGACCTCACAAACTTTCATCACCTCACGCGCGTCGAACGCTCTGGCTTGGTACCCGTGAGGCCTTGTAAGTATGCGCTCCCCTATTCCTCCCCTAATTTCTCTAAGCCCACAACCGACGCTAAGCCAGTCACCCCCTGCTGCTGACACAGATATTCACTCTCGCGTAAACACCAAACTGAGACTGACACTCTCCGTGAACGGACGCTTATCTCTGTCGCAAGCAAACAGTCAACTTACGGCAACCTGCCCTGCGTACAGAATAAAATAGTTCTTACAGCTCCCTGACTTCTGACCTTAGACGAACCGAACTTACTGTGCGCGGTTTAAGTTGGTCTCACATTCTTGACCGCCATAACTTTACAGTGCTGCACAGGTCTATTCCCAAACGATGCCGGTTTCTAGTTTGCATTTTGAAGTTACTTATATAGCTCCTGCTTCTATTTGATGATTTGGACCAATTATTTCCCCGTCTTTTCTTTTTTGCTCAAGCTCAAATATCGTTCTAACTGAAAGTACTTTTGGTGAAATGTCACTCGAACCGCGATCACTGTCAGTGTAATAACACCTACGGGGACGTTGACTTCCGAGTGAGTTTGTTTAAAGTGGTAACAAAATTGTGCTGCATCTCTTGTACTGTCTTCTCTTCACCTACCTAAGCCCAATGTCATGGGAGGGTCAAAAAGACCAGGGCGGGAAGAGGGCGCAGTTGTCTGGCATGACGAAAACGCACGTACAACGACGGTGTGGTCAAGACTCCTGATATATAATTTGACATGAAATACACACTGGTTTATTAAAAAGCGATCGGTTCTCTGGGTGAAAAATTGTTCAGTTGCTCGAGACTGCCCGCACCCAGGTAGCCATAGGCGTGTTGTTTTATTATAAAAGTGCAATTTTAATGGTAGGAAGGTTGTTTCTAAAACATTACAAGGAGACGATCAACTGTTTTTTGACTTTCAACCGCTGAATGAGACAACAAAGAAATGATAGGACACTCAAGACACAACTAGCCAGGTGTGAACATTTTTGCAAATATTCAGTCACAACTGATACTTTTCTGGTAATGTGCGCGCAAATCCTTGAACAAAACGCAGTAGCCAGTGTCCAGAAAATTATCTTAGTCCCTCCATTACATTCAGTCGGCATTGTGAACTTTATTTTTGTATAATTTCCTTTTGGTAAATGTTTGACGTATTACAAGTAGTAAAACCACAAGGGCACATTTCCTTGCATGATTCCTTAGTAAACAGCAACAATTCCAAAGGTTGTTTCTTTCCGAAAAAATGAATTTAACGTGCAAGCCGAATTCTAATATTTTTGGGCGCTTTCGGCTCAAAGTGTATCATGATCGGTTTATATTTTTAATTAGAAATCATCGAACCATGTTTGACAGACATATCCTGGAGGACAGCGCTGTCAACCTTCTTCTCAATATTACCATCCGCATTAGAGCAATATACCAAGGAACATTCATTGCGCGGAATGTGACGTGTAATTAAACTTCGTAGTTCTCAAAGCCATACTTTAATCGAGCTACGCCTATCTGGCAGCATCGTAGACGATTTTTTCTACATCCCTGATTGGTAAGCTTTCCGTACACTGACGTTTACTCAACCAAAATGCATAATAGCTTAAAAAGCAGTATCAATGACGGTGAAAAGTGTTAGGGGAGAGTCAGTGCTGAAAACGTCGCATGCAAAATGAACATATTGCAGTGCGTTTGTCCACTAAAAGTGCACTGGGGGTCATTTTAAGTTTGCATTCGTAGAATACTGTACGGCGTTATTCCGCTTTTTCTTATTTTAAACTCATGTAAACCAATTCGAACTACTGTTCAATTTCGATTAACACAGTACTGTTCGAGGTAGGTGATTAAACAAACCATGAGTCTGCCATCCTGAGATCTTTGACATTCTACAAGAGAAATGCGAAGATGTGTGCATAAAACAGACTACCACAGATCATTTTAGCAAAAAATAAATATTATCAGGCTGTGTATCTTGGTAGCACTCTCGCATCATTAGCACAAATTATTAAATGTGCATATGAGCAACGATCTCGATAGTGTAGTATGTGGTACGCCTACCTTTCAGAAATACCATAAATTTCGGTAGCCAGTCAAATTAACAATAACTTACGCAGTAATTGTTTAAAACGTTTCGAGCGGAAAAATACAGCTATGAAGTACAATCAAGAGTCTTAATTTCAGGGCAGCTTTTCTTACCCCCTCTTGCTTCGAAAGCAGCCACTACTGTAAACCTATAATAGGGGCATTAATCAAAACGAAAGTATTTTAATTAGTGACGCTCGAAGCACAAAAGCGGCTCCAGCCTGACACGCAGCGGAACAAGTCAAGGCCTCTACATGTGACGTGGGCAAAGAGAGGGGGAGATAGATGCATATTTTTGGCAACGCCTAACTGGCATGCGTGGGGAAGCAGGTTTCGTTCCATTGCTGGGATTCGGAAAATGTTCCTATGCATCCGACATGCCGCACAAATCTCGCAAACACAAAAACACGCAGAATGCATCGGTTTGCCCGAAGTCCGGAACTTCAATTAAATACTACAGGGATCACTGCAAGCAACTGCGAAGTTTTTCGATATCTCCTGTGCTTTCGCATAAATAAGGGCAACTATTTGGCAAAATTAGAGGCTAGAAAGGGTGCTTCGTGACGTATTTTTAGAAAGGACTATGCAGATAGAAAGAAGAGCGTTCATTTGAACTGCCATGACTTTACCAATACTACTGTCATTTTGCAAAACGCAGTTAACATACATGAAAAATTTAGCGGACCGTTATTGAGGGCTTACAAGGCAAATCCCTATTTACTTATGCTTACAGTAGTAATTGACGGGGAGCATATAAATTAGTTTTATCATGGCAGCATGATGGTTATCAGTGTAGAGGCTGTCAGAAACCATTCTTCACATGCTACGAAATTTAGATGTTAATTAGAAAAGCCTGCATAATTTCGAGTATGCTATTATGAGAAGACAAGAAGCACAATTCGCACTGCGCATTTAAAAAAACTTGCGCATAGGCAAAAATGCATATTTTAAGCAGTTTGGTATTTCTTCCTCTAGGTGCAACTTCTAAAGAATAATTGTATTTTTTTTCATATTGGCGATCTGCACGAAATGTTTGGGCACTGATTTGAAAATAAATGTTCCAGCACGTTTGTTACATGACGCCTTTTTAGCGCTGGCAACCAATTGAAGTAAATAAGGATAAAGTCACACACTTCGGGAGTAGAAAGCCCCTGCCTATATAGGGTAGGTTGCGTGCAAAATCACTGACAAGTCTCATAGGCATTCGTGATTGCAACTCTTCTGCAAACCGCATTCAGTTGGGAAACATAAAGTAAACTGTCGACCTTAATGTAATGTTTTGTTCCGCGAGTAAAGTACTGATAGGCACTAAACATTTTTATAACTAGCTGAGCCTTGATTCTACATTCGTTCCATGCAGTATTTAAAAGATGCGATGAGCGACACTTTCATACTTTTTGTTTTTACTTGTGCCATACAACTTCTCAGCAAAAATAACGTGTAGACAAATTATACGTGCATGGACATATTTTTATGTTCTTTGGTCTAGAATATATAGTTCGTAAGTAAAATGCAGAACTATTCAGCCAGTCAAATTAAGGCCGAATTCTACCGTTTTTTGGAGCACAGGGGCCATAGTTCCTGCGCAAAACTATTTTGTCAACGCTGCGCTAAATTAAAGCTTTAGCAGCTTTTAACATCCACATTCGATATAACATTATCCTGCCTAGCACGATGGAATTCGGGAAGCGAACTCATCGTCGTTTCGGCCTCAGTTCGCTGTCAAACTTGCAGAGTTTTTTGTTTATAAGTTAAAACGTTTTGGCACAGTTACTCTGCCACGCTGGCCTTAAATAGATGCTATTAGCGTTGAAAGCAAACTTGTTTAAAATGTTGTTACTTAAATGGGCCATCGATCGGTTGAATTCATGGCGTATGATTGCGTGAGTCTCACACAGACTATGGAAACACTGGTGTTTTTTTAACGAAGGACTTGTATAAGTTAAGAAGAAGGATCGAGCACCGGAACATTTCGTTTATTGTCCTGAGCTTTCAGACTCGTGCAGGAGTCCATCTTTGGAGGTGGTAGCAGCGACAGGACAAGAAACAGTTATAGGACATGTAGGCCAATCATCGACCGGCGGCGTAAGACTGGAGGTGACTACGCAGGACTCCGTACGCCGGCGGCAGATTGATAAATCGATTGGCCGAGTTCTCATTCAAGGCCCAGGCTTCGATCAATTCTCTGTCTGTTTAGTTTCCGAAGTGGACGACTATTTTGGTGGCTGAAAAGTTAAACTCGTGAGACAGTTCGTAGGTGTGGGTGGCCCCTTGTGATAATCCGTCGTCTCGTCGTACAGCCAGCTTATTATCGTGTACGCGCGATCCGAGCATGCACCCAGTCTGCCCTGTGTACTTACAAGGACAGTTTTGACACGGAATACGATACACTACTCCAGATTGCTCTTCGGGCTTTAACCTGCCTATAATTCTCATTGCCCTATTGCGCATGGTGGTTATGGGGCGGTGGTGCAATTCCAGCACCAAGCGCCGCATAAATGCGTCCTTGATGTATGACAAAGAATGCCGTATCATCGGTGGTGTCGGTGTTCGAGTCATCTGTTGGCGACCGTAGAGGCAGGATGCGAACTCGTTCAAACGATTCATCGATCTGGCGCCGGCGTAGAGAACCCTGCGCAGTCGCCTGCACTCTTACGCCGTCGGTCAGTGTTCGGCCTACATGCCCTACAACTGTCGCCTGTTCTAATGCTTCCACTACCTGTGACGATGGACTCCTACACGAGTCCGAAAGCTCAGGAAAATTAATGGAGTGTTCCGGTGCTCGACAATTCTTCTTCACTTATACATAAACCCGGAACTAGAAATGTCTCCTTCATTCGTGAAATGACTTGGAATCATGGAGGGTACGTATGCTGCATCTCTATGTTTTGCCAGTTTTTGTAGTTCTTACTAATCAGAATAACGTCACTATCAATATTGAACAGATTAATGAAAACCGCTGTTATTTGCATAGAGAATTCGGGGGGGGAGTGACACATTAATAATAATGAGATTTTAATTGACCGAAAAGGACGTCAGAAAATTCATAAGTAAAAGCCTTTGTGATTTCTGTTATAGTAGTATGACGTCCGGAAATTCTTTATGCCTTCTAGACTAATAAAGTACCTTGACGTTAATATTGTCTGTATGGCAGTTCAGCCTGGTAGCACGCTTGAAGACTATCATGCACAGTGAAGCTGCAACCAGTAACGCATCCTGATGACGTTAGGGAGAGATGAAAGATAAACCCTTAAGTGGACATTGTAATTGAAGACGCAGTTCCTGATGTTGCCAGAGTTCGAAGAGTTCGGTCACGCTTAGTAAACCAGAGGAACGCTTGTAGATTATAAGTATATTACGCAGAGGACTTCAAGAATGAAAAGACATTTTGATAATAGCTAGTGGTTTTCAATTCCCAGATATGACATTATTCTCAGTGGGAGGATAAAGTCTCGCAAAATCAAAACAAAAACAAAAAATCTAAGTGCGTTATTGGGAAATCCTGATTTCTTTCTGGAATTGCCCCGATTATATGCAAGTGATTGTAGAGATGTAAAAATCCATTTGACACTTTCAAGACCTAAAGTATGGTTTTTTTGGAGGGGGCGTTAAAGCAAACCTTTCATTAAGACATGCGATTTTCAGGAACGTTTATGTTGTTATTTGTTTCAAATATATAATATAATGTTCTTAGAAGCTCTTTTACGAATTTTCAATTTGATAGAAAGGTTTTTAAATCATAGCTGACACTAGCGCTGCGTACTCCATCGCGCTAAGTGGGCCACATAGATTATGATTTTTGTGCATATTGCGAATTCGCACATCATTTCTTGGGGAAATTGAAAAAGTTGACAATGCTCGACCTGTTCGTATTAGTGGCATACTATCAAAAGAGAACGCTCGTAACCGAACTTGATGGATACGACATCGAGAATCCGGGTAACAGCAAGTGTCCTGTCTAGTAGTCGATCAGTATTTGTATTTGATATGCGTGATGTGTATGCGGTACGATATATACTGTTTCATCTCAGTTGTTTGTCGCAGGTTATAAATATAATGCCAAGTCGGTCTTTCTTTAGATACCGAATAGTTTGATGGTTCCTTAGACATTTGTTTATATGTGCCATTATCAATATTCTTTCTGCTTTCTTTCAGCCTGCCAAAATGCACATTTTCATTAGAATATTTTCCCACTACATGTTTTTGCATTGAAGAAAAAGTTTTCACTAATTATGCTTTCAGTAGAGATGCTAGCAGATCGTGGCTAATCCAAAAATTCGATACTGTGACCGTTATCTACGAGTCCATCACTGTGATTGGTACTTATGGTTTTCCTGCTAACTACTGAGCTTGCACCCCGGCCAGTTGAACAGCAAGGTTTCGTGCTTTAGAGATCACGTTGGTAAAAGTAAGATTATGTTATTCACGCCTTTCAGGAAAACATTCAAATGATAAAGTGCAGTTTTTAAAATTTTCTTTATACTGTGCCTTAGTAGAGCCTCATTTCAGACGTAAAAATGTCAATACACATTATTAAAACAAGCAATAACTGGACCAACAAGTAACGATAAAGGCTCCCGCGGCAAAAGACGTTTTTTTACAAAAATCTAAAATAGAGTTCAAAGCGTGTTAGCTTGTATGACAAGGGTGGGGAGGGTGCGGACTGGAATTCCTATACAATCGGACAGTGAGTGCTTTGTGGACGTTATTAAATGCCTGAGATTACCTCAGTTTCGCCAAGTTTAATACCGTCTGATTGTGACATTGTGGGTCGGCCGGACGAGCGTCCTGTCCCATGTCTAATCTGTCGCCTAAGTGAGGGCATTGTGAGGATGAGGAGAAAGAAGTTGGCGATGGAGTCAAGCTGGAGAAAAATGTTTGCCGCCGTCGTCCAATTGGTCAGATCAGCAAAGGGGTCCACAGCCAGGAAGTAGATGCAGAGAACAAACGACGGTAGCTCGAAAATTGTAAAAAAAGCCGCCAGCACGGTCACCGCTATGGATGCGCGAACATGACTATCGTGTGTTTTGCCCTTTTTAATAACTTCTGGATTGTGTCGATGAATGAAATTTTCCGAGGACTTCTTCCAGGGCTTTAACTTAAAGATGATTAGGCTGGTGAAAATGAAGATGAGAATCCACGGCAGAAGGGTCTGATAAGTGAAATAAAAACTGGTCATCTCCGCCAGGTCCATTAGAAAGGGCTTTTCTGTTGTGCAGTAGGACCTGAGGCTGCTGCTATAACACACCTCGAGTGTTGTGTCCAGACGACGAAGTGCACCCAGTAAGAACGATAGCACTGTAATTAAGCTGATCGCAGTCAGAAAAATGCGTTTCTTTCGTAGGCAACGCTGGTAGAACTGCGAAGCTAGCGGCCACACCACTACTTCGGCTCGGGCGATGGTTATCAGAGTGATGGCCCAGTTGCGACAGCAGATACCAGCGTCGCGGAGGCAGTCAAACACCGATCCAGTGATCGGTAACAGAGAAAATTCAGGCGGCAGGGAGGACGCTACTGGAACTGACAATGCCTTCCTCTTGATACGCAACCAGGAGTAGAGGCGAATGCTCTCACCACTGGCCTGGGTGGCATGATAGAAGACTTCAAAGAGACAGAACACTATTAGGCCGGCATGCATTGTGCTCCGCTTTTTACTCCTGCTGACATTTGGTCTGGAGTGTCCAGGAGCGCTTACCATCTGCGAGTTTGCTAGTCGTCTGTCGACGCTACGCGGAGCATTGTAGTCAACTATGAGGAGGATTAATGCCCAAAGATTGAATAGGGCCCCGAACACGGAGAGAATGACCGAGGCCCAGAACTTGCCAATGTCAATATCATGTGGTGGAGCAGGGAAGTCAAAGCCGCAGGTGTCATTGTAATCCACTCGGACATAGCTGTCCCAATAGAGGTCGCAGGTTGAGTTTGACGACATACTGCAGGTCAGGCGCAAGAAGGAGGTGAACCCTCCGTCAAATAATAATATTATGGCCACCGGCAGAGGACCGAAATAGGTGAAAATAGCGTGTCTGCCCGGACTGGCCAGAAAACGCAACGCGTGCTTTTCCTGCATTCACATTGGTTCCCCATTGGCTGAAGTTGTGCGTAACTGTCAGTGGCTCCGCGAGACATTGACCAATGGGAAAACATGTGTTTGTACATGCAGCAAATGTCAGTATTGTTAATTATGCAACCATGATCGATCGTCTTTTATCCAAAGCCAGTACCGCCCTCAGTTCGCTCATAGATACCTTTATTAACATTGCTTTCACTTTGTTTGCTAATGCTTTAGGGAGCGCCACTCAGACGGAAACGGTTTATGCTGACTCCACTTTCAGCATGAGCGGCGGTGTTCGGTAGTCGCTGTAGCGAGTGAGATAACTAAAAATGTACACTGTGGATTTCTGTCATTGTAATGTTTCTTATCACAAACGGTAAAGTCACCTCAGTATATGACTGCCGCTGTTTTGGTTACCAAAATTCGATTCTCTTGCTTGTATTTCTTTGATGTATCATCCGTGAATGCGGAGGGTATTAAGTATTCCACTCCTCTTATAAGGATAAAGGCCTGAGTTTCGAACTGGACATTAATCGCTGCCAAGCTGTCAATCAAAGTAATGTTCTCGTTAACCAATCAGCTTTTAAAACTGGTTTTTTTTCGTTAACGCTACCAGGCAAAACTTGGTTAAATCCCTTAACTTATATATTGAAGGGTAGTGTTATACTTTCGATACGAAGGACAGCGGTCGATAGAAACTGGGGATGCTGAAATTAAATGGGTCAAAAATATAAGAGGATACATTTATTTTTATCATTAAGGAAAAAAGTGCGGGCAGTACTATCACGGCACGGTAAAGAGCACTTAACGTAAGAACATACGTCTATAAGTTTTCTTAATACATACATATATGTAATTTTAAAGGGTCACAGGCGTAGTCATTGAGGACTTAATATATTGACAGTTAATTTTCACATTAATAGTCAGTATAAAGTTGGTAACATTTACACTTTTGTTCGAGTCAAAACCTAACACGAGTATAGAACGATTGTCGCTGTTCAGGGCGAATCTCTGTGAACGTAGAGCATTGCACTTAGTGTCCACAAGGCTTCGCGCAAGTAAGCGACACGTTGTGGAAGAGGAGTTTTGTCAAACACTCCAGCATAAAGTCAGTCGTTTATATTTCGCTCGGTGGAGAGTTTCCTAAGGTTTAGTTGCACGCGTTCCCTTTTGATCGTGTACGGACGACCGCTTAGGCGGTTTGTGCGAGCAGCCCTAAAAAAGTCCTCCAGTCTCATCAGGAAACTACGGCCGCAGACAATGTGGACTGTTCAGAGCAGGCTGCAATCTAGGGGAGAATAAGTCATGCTCTGACCGCTTATTACGGTATGATACATTCGAATGTCCACCAATCAGTCTGTTGGTCTGCGATACAGCTGTTCGAGGAGATAAGTAACGTCCCCATCTACGGTGTCCAGATTGGCGCTTCATAATGGAAATAGGATGCTGTAAATACGTTGGAGACTTTTCCAAATATTTTATGAAGAAATATTTTTAATGTACAACCTATCCAGTGCAGCGTACTAGCTGCTTACTGGATCTTTTTGCATTGTTCTAAAAGCATCATATCAGGATTATCTACATGTCAGGTTCTATGTTCGTTACTGTATCTTCTAATGCTGTGCCGTTAATGAAAAAAGGGTGATTTACAAATAATTTTTGGGCCGGCCCTAGGGTGTGGAAGCGCGAATGTGGACACATTAAACTTGGAAAGCCATCTGTTCGACCAAAACATTTGGTTTGTCAACGTTTGATTGCAATGTTTACGCGCCGCCAGCACAGCTGTCATCAGTCGGCATTTTTATGCTGTTGGCAAACGTGACAGCTTCACAGTCCGATTCTCTGGTGCTGCCATGCAAAGACAGTGGCTTCTAGAAAATGTCACCCAGTCTGTTAATGCGTAATTACTATCTATTTGGGCAGCTTTAAGGATTATTCTTAATTTTCTGGAACAGAGCCAAGTTTTTTTGGCTTTATTACTCGTGACTGTGACTTTGCAACTGACAAATCCACAGTTTGGTTTAACCGCAAAGGTATGGAGAAGGACCCCACTTAAATGACGGCAGACTGTGGATCAGGTCATATGGGCTTTCATCTTGACATCCACTTGCAGGCCTTTGCAAACATCATACTGCCAATAACAATCCCCTGACTTCTAATCGTCACCCAAACTCCTTTATCTTTTGAAATTTAGCTTTTGTTTATTTTTAACTACCGCGCTCGTTCCCGCTGTCTTGCGAACGCGTGCGATGAGTCTTGCAGGAGAAATCTAAACAATTTTTGTGTTTTCCTGCATTTCGTCAGCTTACTGCCTAGTGCGCTGCCTTTCTCCTTATCACCAATCACGTATGACACGATCTTCAGTCTACCAACAGTAAAGCGGGGTCCTTCTCCATACGTTGCCTCATCTACTATCTCGTCTTTTAAATTCTTTTTTTTCTATCAGTGACAGATAAAGGAAGTAGTGCAGTAACGACAGTTTTTCTTCTGGTACGACATAGTTGCAACTGAAAAGTCAGGTCATGCCCAGAAAAAATGCGCTGTTTCTTTGATAGTCGGAGATAAGTGTGAACAAAGAAACATCTGCAAGAATTACGTCGCCCACAAACCAGTGACAACCGTCTTTAAAAAACAGCGTTTGTCAAGCCGATATATACTCTAGAAATTGGACGCATAGTTCCGTTCAATGACTGTGATGGTAGCAGCCATATACGGCGTCTGGAGTTTCAGACTGTGGCATTGAAAAAAGGCAAATTTAACTGGTGCAGACTTTGGTGATGTGTTGAGCAATCGTTGAACTCCCCGGTGGGCCTATCGTAAACTCCAAAATTATCCCGTCACACAGAAGTTAAGTGTTTTGAGAAGGATTTGAACGTTAAAGCAGTTAGTGGCATCCGAAGAGACATTGTGTTTCACAGTGTCGGCTCTACAGAACCAATTATTTTTTCTTAACTGCCAGTACCCGTGGAATATAAACAGCTGGAAACGTCATGCTATATGATACCATGACTTCACCTGGCATAATATGTTTGCACTCGTATGTCGCTGGAAACTGTTTTGTCAAAATCTCAAGTATATTTGTTGAGGCATTTGGAAGCTGCAAACGTCGAAATTACCGCTTCAACAATTGATCTTATGCGCCTTCAAAGGCAAGGGGTGCGCACTCTCCCATTACACAGAGCACTGAATTATTGTCGCGGCTTGGCAAACATACCTGTTTATCTCCCATGAGATACACTTTCGGTGATTGTTTAATACATTCGTGGACTTCTATTATTAGGACGGTGGTTCTAGTGTGTCACTCTCATTTTGCGTAGAATAAACAAGGCATGATATTCTCAATACAATGTATTTAAAATGGCTCTGCTTTAACAGGGACAGCGCTTGGATGAGTATAGATATTTTAAGAACGCCTCTGAATGTCGTAATTGGGGTTTCGCTAAGTAAAAGCATGTACTGTTTTGACAATATCTGGCAAATCCATATAGAATTTCGGTTGAGAGAAGCCTTTATAGTTTCACGAACTGTTTTCAGATAATCCGACCACACACTGAGCATCTTCCAAGGACTTTTTTCAGCGTATATTGTATGATGTTAAAGGGGTCTCGTAAACCATTCGACCGTGGTTTGTGCACATTTTGTCGCCTTGATTTTGAAATATCGCCGCGGAACGAAGCTTATCAGGCACAGTCCGAAATTAGATATGAATATTTGACCTGAAATCCACCCACTGCTGCGGAATAGCCGCGTGATATTCAAAAACCGTCAACAACTAGCCAGTTGTATGGAAACGCGTAACTATTTACCGCACCAACAGCACAGATATTAGTTAAAAGCAGAGACAGGCGTGTAACGCCGATCTGCTTGCCTCGACTTTCTAATAGGGTTTAGTACTTGGCCTTTCTTTGCCTCTTATTCCTAAAAATAATCGTACTTCTGATTGAAGCGGGCAGACTAGCCCCAAAAGGCAATTCGGAAGAAGAAGAAGAAGATGCGATCACTGTAACATGAACTGTACTGGCCTGACGTTTCGGAGTTTCACTCGAACCCATCATCAGAGACGGTCGTAGGTAAGGGTAGAGGAGACACAAATGACAGCAGTACTCTGATGATTCGAGCAGCTCGCGACGCGCGGTTGTTAGTTCTTGCCGGATTTCTGCCTCTTTAAACCTTAAAACCTCACAAATATATAAATAACTACAGTTGTCACGAGAGCATTCCCGCGGCGAATTTACGCGTATGTTTCACAAACTCTCCCCTCCTACGTTTGGGAGGTAAAGACAGACTATCGTTGGAGGCCACATCAATGTGCATCTACTCATTCACTTGCTCCTGTGGAGCGGGATACATCGGCCGTACAACGAGACGCCTGGTAAAGGGGGTGTGTGAACATATGTTCGCCTGGCTAGACAGAGGTGGGACCCGATCGGTTTCGAGCTCTATTCTCGTACATTTAATCGATACGAATCACCGAGTCAATGCCAAGGACGCATTTCAGGTTGTCTATCGGACACCAACAAGCTTCTCTAAAGGCCTACGCCGACAGATACTAGCGACGGCCGAGGCAGTGGCTATACGGCTGGCGAATCCGGTGTTATGCTGTCAGAAAACCCTGACACAAGCGCTCTCTCTGCCGTGGCCAACGCCAACCTTACGTGATGACGACATGCCGCCTCAAATCCCTGATTACAGTGATGGCTACTCTGTGTGCTCAATCCAAGAACATCACTCAAAGACTCGCTTACACCCTCCCCCAGCTCTAAGGACTAAAACCCGCCGACCTTGTCATGGGGGCGGCGTGGGGAAGATGAGTGTTTATAACTTAATTGCCCTTGCGACACCTATAAACACTGTAACTTTGTACATTTTCACTCCTT